TGCCCAGGGAGTGTTACTGACTGGACTTGTGGTTAGTGGCAATAACTTAAATAAAGTGCTAATTTTAATCTCAGTGAAGAGCTGTAATGCTATTGATACAGTATTATATTAATATATGATACTCTAGACTGCTGATATTACTAGTTAAGTGGAAATAGTCCATAAAGGCCAGGCCTTACCTTTTGTTTACATTTAGCATCACTGATCAAATCAAGTTTTGGGGCCTCTCATAATCTTAATGTATTTACCTCTAATGAGAAACGTAGCTGGATTATTATATACATGAATTGAACCACGAAAGTCTTGTTCTGTCTTTTCTAGCCACATGTTTCCTTAGAAGCTGTAATTAAGGGTACAGAGTTTGTTATGCAAAATCAGAAATTTCTGGAGAACTAAGGCACACCACGGTGAGGATAGTTAATAGTTTTGTGTATCTGTAGAAGTCTAAGAGGACAGATGTCATACAAAAGGAGCTGGATAGAGTAAAGGAATAGGTTAGATTGCTTGACGTGGGAATTATTTCACAGTGTATCCACATATCAGAACATTTAGTCACACACACACACACACACATTTCAGGTATCAATGATTTTTCCCTCAATGCAGCTGTTAAAGTAGGAAGCGGTGGTTGACCTCACGCATACTGTTGAGGAGCTTCCAGTAGCTCTGTGGAGCCTTCATTGTGTGGTGAATAAATCAATAGAATGTGTTGAAGCTAAATGAAAATTTAACTCAAATAAAACAGGCAGCAATCGTGCATCATTTCACTGCTTGAGTGTTCATCAGAAAATTAAATTCAGAGCTCATCAGTGCTTCTGTACCCATGTCGTAAACAATACACAGGTAGAAGAGTCGTGGATGTTTTTGAAGAATTAACAGCAAATGTAAGATGCTTCTTTTATGCTATTATAAATCAGATTTTTTTCTTTCCCTGGAGAAGCCAGACAGAACAATGGGTCTCTCCTGAGAGGTATTGCTGAGGGCCGAGCCCACGTCTTCGGGAACTCGGTTATGTGAAGAATGGAGACCTGTGCTTGGCATTCTGAATCCATTGTCAGTGAAACCCTATTTGCCGGGCAGAATAGAGGCCCCCAAGTCAAGGCTTCCTTTCCGTGCATCCACCGCTTTCAATAGGCTTGGCCTTGGACAGCTATCAAGGACTTGAGTTTTGAAAAATACAGTTTTCTAATAGATAAGGATCTTTGCTTTGTAAAAGGTGCTCGAAAATGGGAGTAATTTTACTCTTAATGTGGCCAGAAGATCCTTAGCTGAGTTGGTTAGCAGAAGGCAAAGTGGCTTTGGCCAGTCGGTCTCTGAAACAGTACACTCAGCTCAAGCAAGGCTCACAGATCCGTGTGAGTGTAACACAGTGCTGTGTAACACACGCAGCGTCTGATTGATAATATAAGACACTGCACTCTTGTACAAAAATAAATATGCAACCAACATTGATAAAATATCTGTCAGAATAGGAGAGGCTTTATTTGTAGTCAGGAAATACTTGAAATTCTTTTAAATAGTTTATTATGAAATTTTTACATTAAATATTATTTGGCAGGGCTTTGAATTTTGATTTTCCTCTCTGGGTATTCAACTCAAGATTCTGACATATGGGGTAATACTTGCATTTTGAAGTGTTTGTAATATACAGTGACAATGAGACTTTTTAATCTGCTGAACAATAATGAATCAGTTCCATAAATATTTTTTGCATGTAGAGTCTTTAGGTGAATGAATAATAGATTCATAATCTCAAGTAGTCCTTTAACAAATAAGTAATTTGTGGAGAATTAGGTTTTGTTAATTTTTCTCATCATATATTTTAAGAATTATGATTATGGAAAACAGTGCACATTAAAAAAATACCGTCATAGAGAAAGGCCACAGCCACCATGGTGTGAAGCAAAGGCTCTCCTCAAAACAGCTTTCAGCTTTTCTAGTACATTTCCCTGTTTTCTCATTTGTAACCCGAATAGTTACTTTTAGAAAAACTTTCTAAATAAACTCTAGTTACAAATTTAGAGTCTGGTGTATTGTATGTAATAAATACGGTGAAAAGGGCCAGCTTAGGGCTCAGCCTGGCGTCCAGGTAGCTTTTCTAGAAAGTACTCTGTTATTACATCCTCAGCATCCTGCCCAGTGAGCTCTGGATTGTTTAACCTGGCTATGTTCACGGCTTTGAGGTGGAAAGGGTTAGCACATTAGCTACTTAATTTTCTGTGATTTAAGAAAAGTCTGTTCACTTAGATTATTAAAATAATATGGCATATGTATATGTACAGGTATACAAGTATTAGTCAAAGATAATTTATTATATAAAATATTAAAAATATAGCTAAATAATCAGGGATCTAAATAGCATATTACTTGCTTATTTGCTTTTACGTCTTATACATTTTTTCTCAACATTTTGTGCTGCCTTAAGACAAAATCCAACTGTAATAATTTACTCTACCTTGTTTTTGTTTCTTAAAAGAGTTTAAATGGTATAATTAATGAATGACTCCTGCCCTTAAGATTCTCTGAGTAGGGACGGCAGTCGGCGCTCTTTTTGTAGCTCAGTCTCTCTCTGGGAGTAGAATACTTGGGTTAGGGCCTGTGCTTTTCGGTGGCACGGAAGACGCGGTGCTAACTTTGGACTCCTACAGCAGATCCTCGTGTGAGTACAGAGACCGGCAGAGCCCCGACCCAGGCGGCGGCCCGCACCTTTTCTCACACCGGCAGATGGGAGGGTCTGTGCTCCTCCACCCGCCACACAGGGTCACCGAGTTTGTAAGCCTGGATGATGTGACCATCATGCCCTTCCCTTCATTTGTGTAAACTGTAAAATCAGTTCAGGAGCCTCGCTTTACATTCCTACGTCCTTCACTCCTCTGCAGATGAACACATTCCAGGGAAAACATTTGAAATCCACCTTAGCAATAGCATCTCTGAAAAAGAATTCTCCTGTGTGTGATCTGGGGATTGTTATCTGAAAAAGAGTTTTTGGATGCATAAACTGGAGACTTACCTGAAAAGGGATTTTCAAGTGTATGAACTGGAGATTTTTGTAATGTTTTTCTGACAATACAGATGGATCAGAGCTAGGCTTTTTTTTTAACCAAGTACATAATAATAGGATTCACAATCAGTGTGTCAGTGCCTGATACTAATTGTTGAGCCATCAGATAAAATTTAGGAAAAAATTAGCACCTCTGAAAACAAATAAAAGTTTATTAAAAGTAATTAGCTGTCTGTGGTTGCTTCATGTGAATGGGAGTCAAGGAGATTCAAGAGATAGAATAGATTGGGGATTAATGAAGTCTAACTGGATCACAAATAAACATCATTATTTGCTCAGTAGGTTATTACTATAAAAGTCATGAATGTTTACAGAAAAATACAATGAGCCTCCTTCTGTGATGCTTTGTGTATTAATATAAATATTCATGAGTGATGAGTATCGGGGCAGGTTAGCTGTGTGAATATAAATTTTCATATAACTGGCCTCTTAGTGTTCATTAGATCGTGCTCTTGAATATGAATGTCCCAGCATCTCCACGGCACCGTGGACATGGCCCAGCTCATGAATATTCACATGCACAGCTGATCTTCCCAAAAGTAATCAGGTCCACGAAGATGACAATCTCATTAGCTGGCAGGGAGGAGGACCGCATTGGGTGCTTGTCCAACAACTGTGTTACAGGCCCCGGGTTTGCGTGGCTGTGCTCTTGGTAAATGGTTGAAACTTTGAAGTGTAAATACATGTGCTATTCATCTTTCGTCACCAAATCTCTTCATCCTTTTAAACACAGAAGAGACTCCTCGTGATTTAAGCCAGGCTGAATTTATAGTGAGCCTGATAAAGAACAGAAGAATGTATAGTGTGTCTCTAGGCCTTCTCCCCAACACATTTATACTGTTCAGGTTTCACCTGAATTCCCTGAATTTGGAGCAGCCCAGTCTGCTGGACTGCTGGTCCCGTGGCTCCTATTTTTATACATGAAGATGGAAAAACACAAGTCAGTCATATGCTCCATGTTTCTGAGTACAGGAGAAGCTATGTTCTGTGTCAGTTGAACCATTAGTGTGTTGGATTTAGTGAGCGATCATGATGGCACCCCAGCTTTGTAAACTGTACACTAGGGATTTGAACTGCATTTAAATCGTGTGGTGTGATGGCTTCTCGCTGGTCTTCGTGAATGGCCTGTGTAGGATGGGTACTCAGGTCCAGTTAACACGTACAGATGGGGATCAGAATCAGCCTGCTCACCCTGTGGTCACCATGTGTCATTAACTGGATAATCAGGAAAGCAAAACAAATCAAAACGGTTGTTCTGAAAGTTACTGATAATGTATCGATTAGTTTCTGTTTTCCAGTACTGATACTATCAAGCCACTGAGTGCTGTTTTTCTTCTTTAGAATACATACATTTTTTGTTTTTGTATAAGCATTGTTAATAAGCTCTGCTCAATGAGAAACATGCTTTTAAAATCCTCATAACAGATCTATGTATGTTAGTTTCAGATCCTCATAACAAATGTAACCATTAGTTCCTCAAACGTGTACTAATAACTTTTTTTTTTAAAAAGGGTTGGGTATTGTTTTTAAGAGTCTACACTGCCTTTGAGATCCAGGTGGGATAGCTCCCATGCTTGTTTGGTTTTCTGTCTCAGCATAGCCCTGGGACTCCTCTGACAAAGTCCTGCAGGGACTCTTACAGGTCGCGGTGTGGGAACGGCCCTGCAGTCTCGTGGGTGAGGGGAGACTCTGCCAGTTGTCCCCACTGTGGCCCCCGCAGAGCTGCACCCAGGTGGGAATGTCAGCAGCGTCTCTGTCATGGAAAGATTTGTTTGAAAAAGTAATTCTACCTCTAAGACTTTCTGGTAACTGGTGAGTTTACAGTGCTTTTCTAGACAGCTAGGAGAGTATGTCAGATTATTTTGTACATAAAATGAAAAGATACTCAATTTCCATGATAAGTTTGAATGAACGAATGATTTCTTTCTTTTTTTATCAGCAACAATAGTGTTGAATGAACTCAACTGGACAAGTGCCTTAGATGAAGTTTTCAAGAAAAACCGAGAGGAGGACCCTACCTTGCTGTGGCAGGTGTTTGGCAGTGCCACCGGCCTGGCTCGATATTATCCAGGTACGTGGCAGAGATTTGGTAGCTGTCGGATGAAAGCGTGAACTCCGGCCGCTGCGTTTCCTGTGCGGGCCTCCTGCACTGCCAGATGATCATAGCACACTGCTTCTGTAGTGATGAAAAGACACCCCCTTATATGACCACAAAATAGCAGGCCACCTTTAACTGGACCCCCAAGACACGACTGGGGGTGGCTGCTGGCAGCCCTGCCAGGTAAGAACTGCAGAGAGGCCAAGTGAGAACCTGGCCCCAGAGCTCCTCTGAGCCCTGAGCCCCTCTGAGATGAGAGGACAGAGGTCTAGCATGGACCAAACTGCAGTCACAGGTGAGGAAGTAACAGAATTGTTCTTAGAAATGGCACACACGTTTGTCTCCAGATTCCAGGTCTACACCCGTAATCTATAACAGGATGGTAACACTTTGCCTTAATCAGTAAATGTGGATTTATTAAATGAGCATCACAGGAAATCAGAAAAATTCTTAGAAACACTGAGCTTTTTGTGTGAAAATGGGATGAATTGTGGGCAGCCACATGTTCACAAATATTCAGTGATGATAAATGCATTTTAGAAATTAAGATGGTGTCTTTTAATCCTCTTTCGTTTTGTAAAGAACAGTAAAGAGAAATAAACAGTGCTTCCTCTAACAGAATGAAAAGTCAGTCAGCAGGCCATGCTGAAAACCCATTAAAATACTTCGAGTGAAACGTTCGTTGGTATTTCTAATTTCTCCACCTGCTGAATGACTTGCCAAACACAGAACGAGTTTTCTTTCTCAAAGGCTTGACCTGAATTATTGGAAATGTTCTAGGAATGTGGTTTTCAGTGGATACAATATAATGTTAAATAGAAGGATTATTTTTGAGTTTGGGATTGCCTAAACCTGCTTGGCAAATTGAATTATTCACAGTAAAAAAGACTGAAATAAAAGTAGATTGTATTAAGCTTTGTAACAAATCACAGGAACAGAGAATAGTGTGTAGCATCTTCAGTCTGATTAGTACACAGGGTAAGTGGTACAGTGCTAATTATTTTAACAGATATCCAGTACCCTAGGAAAGGCCAGGTGTGCACTAAATATTGTAATAAATGATTTATTAAAAATACTAATGTTAGGGGCTGGGGATTTAGCTCAGCGGCATAAGCACCTGCCTTGCAAGCAGACAGTCGTGAGTTCGATCCCCAGTACCGATAAAAACGAAAAAGACAAAAAAAAAAAAAAAAAAAAAAAATACTAATGTTAATATTTGATGTCGGAAAAATTACCACGTAAGTAATTATCGTAGTAGTAGAATTTTCCTCTTATAGAAGTATTTTTCACTATACTCTGTTATTTTATTAATACGCTGCATATTACATATCAAGAAATTTTAAGCTGGGATATAGGTCAGCAGCACAGTGCCTGCCTGGCAAGCATGAGGTCATGAGTTTGAATTCCGGTACTGGAAAAAAAAAAAAAAAAAAAAAAGAAAATTTTAAAATAAATTTAAAAGATCCTATAAAGAAAAAAAGCAAAACTACTCATGCATCATGTAATAAATGTATTATAAAAAACCTCAGAATTTTAACATTTCTGAATGCAATTAAAAACTGTAGAACTCACGTTTCTACCCAATAAAACACAGAGCAGATACATTTATCCATAACTAATGGCAGTAGGTAGCTTATGAACCTTGAAGAAATTACCTCATAGAATTTCACTTGTGCACAGTTGATGGCTGGAGGAAAAAATCCTAGAGAAAATTAGTATAATAATAAAGAACAAAGAGCCCCGAGCCCGGAAGAAGTGGGTGATGCAAAGGAAGAAAGAGGATGCAGGGCTGCAGGAGAGGGAGACGACAGGGGTGCGTGAGAGGGAGGGGGCGTGCACAGGGCAGCGTGGGGACCTGGGGGAAGGGCAGGGAGGCTGTGGACTGAGTGCTTCTCCAGGAGGGCGTTCTTACAGATGCCACTTCTAAACTCACTCCTAGGCTAGCTTCTGGAATTCATTTATGACATGTGCTTCCTTCATCTTGGGAAGAGATTTTGACGCCTAATATAGCCACACGTGCAAGGTCCTCTCAGAGCATGAGCTGTGGGGATAACCCTGCTTTTATAGCCGGGGGTAGCGGATGTGATGAGAGACCACTCCGCAGGGCCCTCTGCCCCGGCATGCTCACCTGCTATGGGGCTTCCTCCCAGGGCCCCAGGGCTGCCGGGGGTGACATGCGTGCAGTCTCAGTGACTCTGCTGTGAGTGGGCCTTTATGACAATAGTGATGTAGTGAATGAAGTCCCTAGCAAAGGCGCGAATGCAATGTTAGAAGTGGAAGGATGTGTGTCTCTCTGTCCTGAGACACGCTGGCAACATTTCACACTTTCAGACTTAAAACTGAAGTAATCGTATTCTGAGTCCATCACGCTTTCCCCGCTGATTTTACCTTTCTGATGCAGCCGTCGTAGTGTGGCGCATCCTGTTTCTGCCTGCTAACCCGGGTTGGAGGTGATCTTTCTGTGTCGTTTATCATCTTTTAATTTGTTTTTTATTTTAAAGAAGGTAAAACAAAACAGAACAAAGCAGATCAGAAGAAAATAATGCAAGTGACACAGATTTCAAAGCATGACAACAGGAGATCAACAGTGGATACCATAATGTCTCTTGTTTTCTTCTAAATAGTTGTCTATATCTTCATACACAATGAATTAAAACAAAATAGTATAAAACTTATCAAAACAGAAGAATAAATGCATTTCAGGCCTTCAAAACCACACAGTAGGAAAATCAACAATGGCTACCATAATGTTTCTTGTTCTCTTCAAAATAGCTGTCCATACCTTCATGAATGTTGAAATTAAACAATACAAAACAGACTAAAACCACTCTGAACAAAGTTACTGGATTTCACAGCATGATGATAGGAAATCAGCAATGGATACCATAATATCTCTCTTTCTTCAAAGTAGCTGTTCATTTCATCACACATAATATAATCGATTCTCGTAAACTGTTCAGGAAAAGTTCTAGGCATGTATAAGCTTCTACATGTATACCTAAACTTTCTGTATTAGAGGAAAAAACAAGACAAAACAGATTACTAGAAAAAGACAAAACAAAAAAGACAAATAAATAACAATAGCGAAGAGCCTAAGACATTGACACTACAGGCCTTCAAAACAAGGTGGTAGGAACAATTCTAAGGTGGTTATTTTACATAGTGATCTTTTGTGCTACAAATTCTGTAAGTTCTTGGAACAGAATAGTTAGCATTCATAGGACTGGAACAATTTTGCTTGTTTGAGTCTGGGGGTCTGAGGGACTCTTGAAGGTCATTTATCATCTTAATCAGCAGAAGCACCGCATGGGCCATCACTTAACTGGATTCTTATGTATGAGATATGACTTCTGGCAGAGGCCCCCTAGCAGCACTTAGGACCTGGGTAGATGTCCTGATTTCCTGGGGCCTCTCATCAGGTCTGGAAAACACAGAGCACCGATAATGCCTCAGGTTAGCACCCATGGGCTCAAAGAGAGTACAGTGGGAAATTTTCTAAAAATTCAAAACTGGAGGCAGACTACAACCATGCGTCAGCTGAAGGAAGTCTGTTGCTGGGACGCTGACTCAGAGGTGGAAGGGCTTCCCCTGTGCCTGAGCCATGGTCCTGGAGAGTGACAGGGACCTGTCCCCTTTGGGCACTCCAGGATTGCTTGAAGAACTAAAGGACGTCCACCTAGATTTAAGTTTCAGGTAAGCAGTGAAGATCCACTCAGCATAAGTATGCCTCATGCAATATTTGGGACATACTTTTTCTAAAACATCATGTTTTGTGTTTCAGTTTAAGCTTAACTTGCTTTCCTAAAATTCTTTTTTGCTTGCAATACCACGGATTAAACCCTGGACCTTCTCATTCAGCTATTTCTCAGCCCCCTTTTAAAATTTGTGTTTTATTTGTTGTTGTTGTTTTTGAGACATAGTTTTGCTACATTTTCTGGGACTGGGCTCTACCTCGCAATCCTCATGTCTCAGCCTTCCCGAGTCCTGGAATTACAGATGTCAACCACCCTAGCTGGCTTTGCTGTATTTCTTTCTGTTACATCTGTTGCTATTCTCTCTCTGGCTCTTGGTGTCTACATTTGTAACGTGGGAAAGTCATCCTCTCTCTTCGGCCACAGAATTGTGAGAATCAGATAAAATCTATTCTTCACGCAGCCCAAACATAGAATTCTGTACTTTTCTCTAATTATATAAGCTATTGATTTTTATTTTAGTTTCTCAAGAAGTATCTTGCTGCAGAATTATTAAAAATGAAATATATGCAAAAACTTAAATCTTCTCATTCTCAACAGAGTCTCCAAAGAGTTCTTGCTCCTTGTTAAAGGCAGTGCCTGGGCCCAGCCCCAGCCTGGGAGGGGTGGAAGGGATTCCTGTAGGGAACAGATATCTACCCCTCCCGTCCCACCTCCAAAACCTGGTGGGGCAGAGACCTGGGGATCCCGTGCCCCCTGACCCCCTGGGGGAGGAAGGAGGAGGAGCACTAGGCTCAAAGATGGAGTTCTTAGGACAGCAGGGAGCATTCAATGTGCTTCCCTTCCTATTGCCCAGCTGGAGGGAAAGCCAGGGATGGTTAGGGTCCTCCGTGATTGTCCTTTACCCAGTTTAAACATGTGGAACACGGCATCTGCTGCGCAGGTCTCCAGAGGTAAAGACCTTTGCCAGAGATGCCTGTAGAAAGTTGTGCATTTGGTATTCGCTGAAAGCTTGAATTCCCAAGTCTGTTGCTGGACTGAACCTCTGCCTGCTTTTGAATCCAGTGACTGTATCTAAGAACAGAGCTTTGAAAGTCATGGCTGTAATCCTTCCTCTTCTCCCTCCTCTTTTTCCTTTCTATTTCTCCAACCACTCCCTTCTTCCCCTTTCTCCTCTCCAGCTTGGAAGAAAAACATGCTGTATTTGTAATAAAAACAGCTTTAAATTTGGAGAAGTTTCTGGTTCTTGAAACAATAGCTTCCGACACCATTCTAGGCTTT